AAATACATGGCCTGGCAATGCCTCTTGTTTGCCTTCCCATCGGTGCGCACACATGGAAGCCTCATGAAAGAGCGAACTTTTAAGATTCCCACTGCAAAGCAGTAGACTGTCACAAACCATCAAAAATCCTAATATGGAAACGCTAACGATGCTCCATCCCGTCATATGTACATGATGAAATAGAGTTATCAAATTGTGAAATAGTACGCAGGATAAGCCTAAAATTTTAACAGCTTGGGCGTAGCCTTAACAAACTTTTGGGGCAAGTGCTGTTAGCGAGCACCTATTAAGGCCGGTATGGCACGCGAGGGTGTGGATGGCCAGCACCACGCCTGGCCGCCTTTGTTTTCCGAATGGCGATGTTTACAAAACGCACCAGGTACTCATTTGAGGCTAAGTCTACCTACGGGAGGCCCAGGACCGGTTCACACAATCGTCACTGGTGGTGGCCGTGAGCGAGAATCGAACCCAGGTTCATAGGGTAGTGCGCCAACCACTAAACTACCGCTCCCCAAAGACACATACACGAACACACACACACACGCACGCTCGGTTGATTCCAGTAAAAGGGGGGCAAACGGGGTCATGATTTTGCGAAAGTCACCGACAACAACGAAAAGAAAAAGCGTGACCGACTGAAATCCTCGTGAAAAGAGGAATAAAGATGAGCGCCGGGAGGTTTGCGGGGTCACTCCGAGCTGCTGATGCTGCTTGGCGACTGGCCGGCAAAGATGCTCGCGCTGATGATGCTGATGCTGCTGATGATGCTGCTTGACACCACCACTCGCGGGATGGGCAAGCGGTCGGTGTGGCCAACGTTGTCGTGCCGTTCGCGCAGAACTTACAGCTGTTCACTCCCCCATTGTTGGAGGTGGTGTGGATTGTTGTCATTTCTCTGCCAGCGCGTTGCTGGCCTCCTTGATCAGGCCCTTTGTGCGCGCTAAACGCTTTGAAACAATCACTCTCCACTTGGCTGAACACCTTTTTTTTCCTTTCGGCTGTTATGCACGCTCCAGTAGTTTAGTGTGCACCGACCGCCATCACGCGCTGCGGTTTATTTAGATCATCCGCTCGCGACGTCTCTATATCCCTCACTCTGCAGCTCTCTCTCTCTCTGTGTGTCTCTCTCTCTCTTCTCCCTCTTCCCACATCTCTCGTTTTCACGACAGCTCTCTTATCTCCGCCTCTGCAGCAGCAGCAGCGTCCTCGTCTCTCTGTGTGCAACGCGCTTGTGTGTGTGTGTGGGTCCGCCAGTCCGTGCGCCCATCTGTCGGTGCGTGGTGCATGAGTTTCAATCTGGTCGCGGTGTGTAAACATCGCCACTTGGGAGACACAAAGGCGGCCGGGTGTCGCGCTTGCCCCCCCCCCCCGCGTGTGCCTTGCCGGCCATCATAGGTGCTCGCTAACAGCACTTGCCCCAACAGTCTGTCAAAGGCTTTTCGGGGGATCTTTGTACGTGTGTCTTTCTGTCCGTGCGTATGTATTTTTTAAAAATCGTATATCCGTTCGTTGTGTATGTGCATGTGTACGTGTGTATTTCTGCCTTGTGTCTGTTTGCATGTTTTGTGTGCATGTCGTGTACAGTATCTTAATGTTGTGTCCTGCCTTTATGTTTGCCACGTGTGTCCGTACCCATAATGTATTCCCGTTGTTATGTGTCTGTTTGAGTCAGTCTTTGTCTTTTTGCTTACCTGGCTGTCTTGTGTGTAGGGCGTTCCGATTGGCTGTAGTGTTACCACTGTGCTTGCATTTTCATCGCAGCAGGGACTAATTAAAGCTTTAATAAGTGCCGCATAAGCAGTTACCTATCAACACCTTACGCATGATCAATGCATTCAATCATAGCAATGTGCTTTATTTATAAACCAAGTGAAAAAAACAAGTCCAAACACAACAATAAACATTCAAAACCATAGTTGAAAAGCACATCAGATTAATTACATGCGATTTTAAATACAGATTTAATGAAGGACATTAAGGTTTTTATACATTTACATGTCCATCTGGTTGCTGATAGACTTAACATCATCTTAAGAGACAATTGTACCTACGTGTTGTATACATCCATTTCGCATTGCATTGTATTGCATGTTTATTTAGACAGGATACAGATGAGGCCTATGACCAAACCATCTTGAATGTGCCTGATCTCAGAACCTAAGCAGACCTGAGCCTGGCTAGTACTGTGATGTTTGCTCACCATGAGGATAAACAGGCTCTTATGTCGGCTGCTGTGCAGATACGTCTGCAGCACAGCGCTGTGCAGCTAAATCCATTGTTGTGCTGTACTATGCCCCCCACATCTATGTTCCTCAACTTTAGTAAACAACGCTGACCGGCGTGGTGAAGCATGGTCAAACAACTCCCATTGCCCACATTGTACGGGGAGGCCGTCATCCAGCAGTGGATTTGACAAAAAGTTTATGCACGTACTGTACAGAGCAGCGAATACTTAACAACAATTGTGGGTTCGTAATAATGCATTTCTTCTGAGTGGTGTAAGTAGGGCAAGGCAGTGTACACTTTACTAGGCAGTAGGCCTACACAACAAAAATGCTTTCATCATTTCGTGCACTTGCCGATGAGAAATTAATTACTCGTTGAACAGGTAACCTCATTGTTTGACTGTGGTCATTATAAATGACACTATTCATTTTACATTCTTACGTAATTATATTAACATTCTCGGTGGTTTTCCACGGCTTTGCTAGCTCGCGATACCGACATTCAGATATTACCATCGAATTCTAAGAAAATAGGGTACAAAGCCACGTGCTACAAATAAGGCCCAATCCCCAAAACGTCATCTTTTATATATTTCAGTTTTTGTGAAAGGTGTTTGAGTTTGGCTCTCAGAGTCTCGGCCAATTTTATTTAGCGTAAAAATTTCCAGCAATTTTGTGACTGTGCAATTGTCGTGCCCGTATCCTGACCTTGTAGCCCAGACCCCGCTAAATAAAGGGACTGTTTGCCTCAGGATCTAAGGATCCGTCTTTCTTCCTATGTGACTATCCTCCGAGGTACTTTAATATGGTTGTCTGATTGCTGCTGAAATCTGTACACGATGGGAAAAACCATCACAAACGAAAAAATTAGCATGGGTCAGAAGACGAAACGTTTAATCGACGCCCATAAACATGCAGTGTGCGTAGAAACATCTCTTGGATTTACGAATCATGCAAAACAACCAGTTGCTGAAGAACTGAATTCTGGTCATCAATAACTGGAGCAAAAGTGACAAACCAAGAGGCGTCAGTGAGACAGAGAGAGCTCACGATTGCTTTCATCCTGATTAGGACTCAAGTTGACAATGGTAACTGCTGCCAGGCAAGAACCGCATGTACGTAGAAATCCCACTTCTACGCGATGGGGGACCCATAATCTTGTCTCATGGCAGCAGTCATTGAAATCTGTAAATGACGAGAAAATCTGTCGCAAAAAATGTCGACAACGTGCAAAACATGGACCGTGTGTGCAAAAAAAGTTCGATCTTGGCCTTAAGCATTATGCAAAACCACCACCAGTTCCTGAAGAACAAGACACACGCTGAAGAACAAGATGCCCAACAATGTAGTTCTTCGGGAATTGGTGGTTTTACATAACGCTTCAGGGTGACGGATAGATATTTTTTGTTAGCAAAGTGCACGTTTTTGTGTGCTGTTGAAACTGCGTGCGTGCTATTGTGTGTCAATACAATGAGTGCAAAAGTGACATGCGACTGTGGCGCAGTGGTTTGTACACTGCCGTGCAGAGTTCAATTCCCAGCCACGGCTAACATGAATGGCGATTGATATCTTGAACTCGTCCTGGGCACCAAACACTCCCTTTATCAACCCGCACTGACTGACCAGCGTGGTGAAGTGTGATCGATCAACAAATTCCCCCAATATTTATTACGATAGGCTGGGAGGTCCTCCAAGTAGTGGATTAACAAACTCGCTGTAATAATAATGATATACATGTATTACAGTGCCTGCTCGTGTATACTGGGTGGTCCAGATGTCTTGTGAGCACCATTAATTTCTCTAAAACGTAATATTGTTAAAGTGAGGTTTATTTAAAACAGAAATGATGATGCAAAGGAAAAATATTTTAGGGGTCAATTAATCTTGGGGGGGGGGGGGGGGGGAATCACAATACATCTGGACCACGCTGTACATTTATATAATGTACATAATCAGATTTTTTTTTTATACAATAACACGATGAAATCGCAACAACAAACAACGATGACATAATCTGCCAAACGTCGTGGTGACGTCACACGGGCTGTGACCTCGCAACGCTACCACGTGCCGTTGCCGATTCCGGTGGGGCGACAGCGGGGTGGTCCAGATGTCCTGGGACCCCCCCCCCAAATTGACTTCTCGAAAACTTTATTTTTTAAATAAGGTTTATTTGAAAAAAGAAAGGAGTACGCAAATGAACGCAATGCCAGGAGGTGGTGGGTTCGATCCCTAGCCTGACGCCTGTACGTTTGCAGTTTGAGTGCCTCTCTTCCACTGTGATCGCGTGGATTTTTCTCGGGGTCCGTCTTCCGTGTTTTTTTCCTCTCCGCATTTAGAATCAACATCGCTGCTTTACATTTCCACATGATAAGCCACGTCGCTGAGCTGTCACTTGTGGCCACGTCGCGACTAAAAAAAGAGCTACACAGCTCAGTTGGCCTCACCTGATAAGATACACAAATTTGAGTTTAGTTTAGTCAATTAAATTGGGGGGGGGGGGGGTCACAGACATCTGGACCACCCTGTGGATCACGTTATCATTTGGCGAATCCTATCAACCCCCCCCCACCCAGCACCCACCACAAGGATATCGCGACGGGGTCCTCCACGGGGTTCGCATGACTCGCATCGCCGGATACAGTTCGGCGCGAGGAGGTTTTCAGATTCCTCCAGCTCGTTTTTCCGGTTGCACCGTTTTCGCTGCTTACCGACCCGTGCCGCTCCTCCCTCCCTCCCCTCCCTCCGTGTTTGCCCACTGCGCTCACGCCACAGAACCCGGTATCCTGGTCGCGGGAGCACGAGGACACGGGCACGACGCACTCCACCGGTGGGACGCCGGGCCCTTCCAGCGGAGGACATGCCTCCCAGAGCGGCGACAACTGCAGTGAGCCAGGTGTCACTTAACTTAACCCCCTCGCCATCTCCCCCCTCGCCCCCTCCCAACCCCCTGCCACCCCCACTCGTCACCCCCTTGCCATCTTTCCTCGCCCCCTCCCAACCCCCTGCCACCCCCACTCGCCACCCCCTTGCCATCCTTCCTCGCACCCCTGATCACCATCCCTCCCCCGGTCATTATCCCCCCTCGAACACCTCACCTCCACCACTCCCCCACCACTCCCCCTTCATCACCCCCTCAAACCATGACATGCCATGCCATCCTCACCTTTCAGTGTAGTAGGGGTTGCCACATCTTGGGAATAACAAGAATATCTGACGGCAGCCGAAGAGGAGGGGACACGATGTGAAATGTGTTGTCCAGTGGTGCATTATTAAGCAATTGGCAACAACCAGGATCTTAAATGTCCTGGTAAGACTTGCACATTTCCCAGGATAACTAGCTCAACACGAGGACAATCCTGGGGAAACCAGAACAGGTGGCAATCCCTACATGACCAACGTGACCCTCTTCTGCCCCCCCAAATGCCACTTCCTCGTCTCCCCTTGCCATCCCGTACATCTTCGCCGGAGCTTAATCTCTCACCGAGTATATTCACTGTGATTGGTTGCCGCAATAATGGCAAGAGGTACTGTGGATGTGGTGTTCCAGGTGTAGAATTTCTATGTGGGCCATCGACTTCGACAGCTGAAATCAAACTCGGGGCATAACTAGGTGGGCATGGGCACCACCCAATTTGCCCCCTCTTCGTAGCCCCGGTGCCTGGGTCCCCCTGCCGCCGTATGGGCCCCGGTGCGGTTACACTGCCTGCACACTCGATGGCTACGCCACTTGTCCCGGGTGTTGTCAAACTCGCGTCTTCACGGGCGCCATCAAAAACTGCGCGATGCACGGCTGTCGAATTGGACTTGCGAGCGGAGGGCATTGGTGAACTTGCAAGGATGTCTCAAGTCGGTAACGTGAGAACTGTTGCATTCAAGAGACAATACTTGGTGTGTATTTTTGTGAGCATTGCATTGTGTGAGAATCTTGTGTTTTTTTTGCAATTCGTACATGCTGTATGTTTACGGGTTTACATGACTCCTGCGACCACGGTGGCCGCTACACTCACAGCAATGACAAAAAAAGAAACGATTCCTGAATCGAATCGCGACCGTGAACCGCGACGATCCATTGAATAGCCGGAAGTGTGAATTGTCACACCAGTCGCAGACATGGATACCCCCAATAGCCACCATGTCCAGCAATACTAAAGGTATTGAATTCACGCTATTGTGGTGGAATTGTCGGGCCGCGCTTAGCGCACCGCCCTTTGAACCTGGTGAGCTGAATTTCACGTCTCGCCAGCGGCAAATTCTCTCAGAATCGGTCCTTGGACCCCCTTCACCAACGCGCACTCATTAGCGCGGCCAAGTAATAGCCAGACAACCCACGTGACCGACACGGCGTGGGGGCGGACTCCAGTACACCCAGAAGTGGATTCGACAATGGCGATGTGAATTATCGTCAGGTAACTCGATTGTAGTTCACAACGCTGCTTCGATTTGGTGTGCGCGGTGTGTGTGGCGTGCTTGTCCCAGGTGTAGCCGGATACTGTTTTAACCACTGACCCACCTCTGTTTTCCTCCCAGCCCCAAAATCCTGGCCTCCCCGTCACCATTAAGTGCCATTTAAGTTGCGCCTATTAATTCACCATCTGCTCTTTTCTCAGTGGCACAGCGCCCGAGATAGGCTGTTAAATATTTCCTTTCATTTACCCCCTTCCCCCCGCCCCACCCACTGCCGCCCTCCCATCCGCCTCGGAATAATTCTATTCGGCATTTGAATCCGGAGCATTTAGAGGAGATATTAATTATTTTCGCTTTGATTAATGTCATGTTTAGGTAACCCCCCACAAATTGAACGATGGCCGCCTTCCATGAAGGCACGCGTCGATCCTAAGCAACGTCGTCACGGGGACGTTATCTTCTGACTAATTCCGCTTTGGCTTTGGTCAGCATTAGAATAGTAAATATACAGTAAAAGGCAGTTTAGCGTTGATGCATTGGCCCTAATTTGGCCCGAAAGTAAATATAACTTTTTTTTTTCCATGGCAAATTGACATTAAATGAGGGCCAGGCAGGGTGCCCAAACAGGATCCGCTTGGTAAATAGTGTTTGTGTTTTCCCCGTGGCAAAAGATAATTAACCTATGCAACCTTTATTGACAAAAGTACATGTGATTGGGGTGGGGGACTTAACGCCCATCTGCTATTTAAACAAATGTTCGGTGAGCCTGTGGGCCAGCATGCTAAACAGCAGCGTGGCCAAAATGCTTGCCGACAAGGAGCGAACAAAATCAAATAAGCTGTGATTTAAAACAATTATAATAATTTATTATCGTGATTTTGGTAAATAATTGGTTTTATAATAATAATAATAATAATAAAAAATGAATGTTTTTGAAAGTCAGAAAAGGACAATGCAGTGTTTGATAACATACTGAAGGACACACTTTCCACGTAATTCTATCACGTTTTGAAAACGTTGAAATTTGGTATTCTATGTATTCATCATTATCATCATCAACTTCTAGATGAAGTGGATCGTCCACACTGTGTTGCCTTCCATCTTGGTCCTGCGGTGCCACAATCCATCTGACAACGTACAGTGTAATCTAATGTCTTACATCAGCAGTCAAGTTAAAGACAATCCCTTTTTAAGCATTGGTGCACCCATCGTGATATGGCAGATATTAGGTGTGCGATGTAGTCATCAAACGGATTCGTGTTTTGTTTTGGCTTCTCAGAAACGACATATGCAAGGACAAATACAATTTACCAATTATTCACTAATTCATGAAAACAGCAGTTCATTAATTGTATCATTCACGGCATTAAGGAATGTGCGTGTGCACGTTGTGTATAAACACACCGGAGATAATTTAAAATATATAAATAAATAATTCCTGCTATTCTCGATCCATCAAGTCCCTCTCCATGGCATGTCGGTCTTGGGTTTTAATTGGTTTACCTTACTTCACCATCCTGGTCATTGCGGTTTGGTAAAGGGGGCAGGAGGGGGGGAACCAGTTCTCCCAGCTGATATCATTTACCACTGATGTTAGCCGTCGCCGAAAATTGAAATCGGATCGCCAGGTTGAAAGCGTCGCCAACCACTGCGCCACCGCTCCAGTGTCTGGAATTTCGGCATGAGGTCACCGCCAGTTGTGTGCAGCGACAAATTGACATTGACGCGATTCTCATTTCCAAAAGGAAGCGGGCATTAATATCCACCACAGAAAAAAACACACACATTTGAGCCAAATAAGTATTGTTAAAAAATAAACAGCAACCAGTTCTGCCACCCCCTCCTCCCCCCATCTTCCTTTCCAATTCTCTCCCTACACTATTTTACCATTCCAGCATTCTTGTGTGAGCGCGAAGGCTTGTTTGCCCGTGGTGTTATATTTTTTAATTTGCACCCAAGCTTCTCCCCGAGTTCACACTGCCAATACCGGGCCTCTCTCGACGAGTTGCTTTAAACGGGAGCTCACTCCGACGGGGGAGGGCGATAGTGGTGGGGAGCGGTGGTGCAACGGTTAGCACGCTTACGGCCAACACCAGTGACGATTTATCTGAACCGGTCCTGGGCCTCCCCGAGGCCGACTCAGCCTCAAATGAGTACCTGGTACGGTGTGTTAATAAACATCGCCACTGGAGGAGACAAAGGCGGCCGGGCGTGGTGTTGGCCACTCACCCCCTCGTGCGCCGTGCCCGGCCTTCACAGGTGCTACTCGCTAACAGCACTTGCCCCAACAGTCTGTGAAGGCTACACGGGGGATCTTTGTCTTCTTTGATAGTGGTGGTGGGTAGTGCGTGGGCTGTGGCTGTGGTGGGGGAGTAGGAGGACAAGGAAAGAGGAGGAGGACAGCCATGGGGCTAGAGGGAGGGGGGAGGAGGGAGGAGGAGGAAGGGGGGTTGTAAAGGGGACTTAAGAAACGGCTGCACGGCCTGTCACGTGACGGATCACCTATCCCTGACCCCGGCCACTCACCAGCCAGAAGGTGACGCCTCATTTTTCACATTCTTGGCGCACGACCGTGTCACCCCACAGCACCATTTCCCACTCTGTATTTGAAGCGCTCAGACACTCCGGCGAAGGCGAGAGCTGCCTTTGGCCTCGCACATTGAAAATGTTTGAGTTTTTTGCGTTTCTGTCCCATCGGTCCCTGCGTTCCTACTTCAGCCGCTCCTTAAAAAGGCTGTTCCTCGTGTCATCGCGACTTCTTAACTCTATATTGCCGGTGCATATTTCGGTACATAGATATTTACTTTATATACGGGGAGGTCAAAGTGTTTTATATTTGATAATCATAAAAATGCATGCAGTACTATAATAATCATGTCCTTTATTTCACCAGGATAGCTATACTGAGTCTCCAAATAGTTTCCCAAGGATGCCCAACTTGAGATGTATGGTCACATTGAGTTGTCGTAAAAGTGTGAGGAAATACGAATATTTTAAGAAATGCCACATTTATAACGAGATAAGAAAAAACCCTCAAATCAGTTATTAAATTACTTATTGCAGATATGAATCCTAAATATACCATAGATGGTGCATTGGTTAGGCACTGTAGTATAAACACAGGGTGGTGAAGTATGGTCGAATAACCCCTATCAAACCAACACAGCATGGGGATTGACAAAAGCTGAAATTCCTATTCTTATTACTGCTAATTTACACTGGATACATTTATTTTATTACGATTCATTCGTAAAGATAGGAGCTTAAGAAAAGCCGCACATTATATTCGGGCTACTTCTCTCAGCGTCTCGGTCTCAAAACTTATTTTCTCGCCTCTCAGACGTACAGTGGTGCACGTATAAAGGAAAACTGCGTAATGATAAAAAAAAAGAAATCCTTTTAAAGCCCATTTGTAAAAGGGCAAACCCATTTCTATTCAGTTCACCATGGGTAAATGCTCTCCCTCTCTTTGCAACGCTTTCGTCCGAT